GCTGTCCAGTCTCGGGTAATACCATGGCAAGGCTACCCCCCCCCCCCCTTTCGGCGGCACAGGTTAAAGATTCCTCTGGTACCAACCAGTTCTCCAGGACTGAAATAATTAGTTGATTATTCGATTAGACAATTGCAAGAAATGCAGTCAGGTGTGAGTAGGGCAAGTGTACTTATTAATCCCACTCTCGACTTGGGAATAAAACACAAAAAAGACAACACACCTTTTTGTTGCTCGTTATTTTTGTCAAATTCAGGCATTACTTACATACTTGGTTTTTTGTTGTTTTTACTGCAAGTCTTGGGCATTTTTGAGTTCAACCCGTCCATGCGTGCACTCTCAGGGCACCTCGCCCAATACAAAGTCACAACAAAACTAGCATTCTCTAGTAAACTCCTCATACATGTCTATTTTTGAGACACTTTCATGAAAAGACTATTTACATTATATAAAAATAAGAGATTGCTTTTATTTTTGGATACTAGGACACTGTACTCAAACAATTTATAATAACAATAATACATTTTGTTTATAGGGTGCCTTTCAACAAACCCAAGGTCACCTTAGTCAGTACAACAGAATAAAATGAAAATTAAGATAAATCATCACAGTGAATAATTAAGCAATATAAAGTACCACATACAGGACACAGTGACAGCAGTAATTTCATGACATAATCAGCACTGATGAGAACGGCTTAAAAAAGATATGTTTTAGTCAGAGACGTCCCAGTTTAGTACAAGGTATTGGTATCAGTGCCAATCTGGGCATTTTTCACAGGATTAGTATCAGCCAGAATAAGGCCGATCCAATTCTGAGTCTTGTACTTGAGTGGACTCACTTGTGTGTTCGAGATGCATGTGTTATACAACCAATGAGTTGCATGTCAGCTGGCGTAGCACTCATGTATAGCTGGGACCTGAAGCCTTTTTAAGCTTCAGGTCTATTCACTTATTGTCTGTTATTTGCTGAAGTTTTGTATGCAATTTTCCTTTTCCGTTGTTTCCAAAGCTCCTCTGTGTGTGTGTGTTTTTGGTTCATCAAGTGCTCTCTATGTGGAAGTGACATGAGCCCGGTATAGACACAAGCATGAGCATCCCGCGAGATGTTACGTGTTGCACACGTTTGGTGTAGATATAATGAATTTTATTTAAAAAAAAAATTTGTCCAGAGGTGCGACCACAGCATCCACCTTCTGTTAATGCAGTGTTATCAAATGGTCAGAGAGATCTAAACTGGACCGGTTAAACACATTGTGTTCACACATATGGATATGAAGTAATGCTCAGTAGAGATGCACTAATTGATTGGTGGAGATCGGAAAAGGCCAGGTTTCAACTTGATTGGCCTTGACTGGTGACTGGCCAATCACTCTGTGATTTCCAGTTTTGTTCCAGTCAGATTTAAAGAGCCCATGGCAAAAACATCATAGATTGTTAGAATCCTCTGGCCAACCTCCATCACATCAAATGTGCCAGAAACACTGGCTTCAAGCTGTCAAACAAACTGTACTGTTTACAGTACAGTTCCAGCACTGATGAGCTGATCATTTGCCACCACAAGGACTTTACTGGCCAACTGCTTGTAGGTTAGACCCGGTCAGGTAAAATAGTGAGTCCCAGTACAGGAATATTCCTGGACATGCAGTAACCCCAGGCCCTGTATTTTTCTCCACATCTTCTGCTCACAGTGGAGCAGTTGAAGGTAAAATATATCCACAATATATCCACAGTCGAAACATCTTGCTTTTACTATGGCATCGTGGAGTCCTCATTGCACATGCAGTGTCACAGACCAAAAGCATAATGTGTGCAGTGTGTAGCATCTCGCAGGCACTTCGAGTGACCCTGATGTTGGGCCTGTACCCAGTGCATGCTTGATGTACAAATGGCGCACAGAGGAGCAATAGAAACACCTTGGAGAAGGGTACACTACGTCCAAATCTCCAACAAACAGTACACAGTGAGAGAATTACTGGCTACACATGAAATGACTATAAATGTACTAGGGATGGGCATTGATTTTTGAATATATGAGTGCTTATTTATCCGTCATGCATGCACAGAAAGAGATTTCTTTTGCGCCCTGTGCCCTCCCTGGGCTGACCCCACTCAGGTCCACTGTGGCCGTATAAAAGTCAGTTTCCCCACCGTCCAGCCACTGGAGCCAAGCATCTCCTCCATCTTGCTCCCCAAGGTGGGGTTCTTCGTCAAGAGACGGCCTACTTCTCCATTCCCACGGGACCAGGTCACTGTCTGCCTCTCAGACTGTATTCATCAGGTAGCCTCAGTGATCAACAACGTGGCGCTTGTCTCGGCATCCATCTCCTCCCTTGCTGCCCTGCCCGGGGCTCTCCCCACGGAGGCAGCGGAGGAAATTGGAAAAACCATGGCAGCAATAATGACAATCTCTCCTCAGTCTGCCGCAGTGGCAACAGTACACATGAAGGCCTGGGCGACCATGATTCAGCACAACATATGGCTGCACATGTCGCAGATTGGGAAGAGTCTGCTGGATGGCCCCATCAGCCCTGATGGACTTTTTGACTGCACCTCCAAGAGGCCGTCACTCACGTGCAACAAGCATCTGATGAAGTGGAATGAGTGAGACGACTCGCTTCATAGGGACGGTCACGCAGCCCCCATGGTCTTGATGATGCAACCGTGGAGGACAGCGCCACAGGCTGAGATGCCCAGCAGCCTCTGCTGCTGCACCTCAGTATGCTCCATCACCTAGTGCTGCAGATCCTCCTCCCGACACTGTCTGTCCACACACGTTTCCCCATCATACAGCTCTCCCCTCGCACATGCTGTGCACACTGAACACAATTCGTCCTTCCCCTGTTGTCATGTCTAACACATTTGCCCCCATAACAGCGGACTGAGTGGCTCTGTGGCCTCCCTACCTCCCACCCATTGGTGCGTGCAAGTAGTGGCCTTTCTCCTACATTTCTCCTACTCTGCCCTTTCGTCACCGCCCTCCCATGGGTTGTGACAAGCGAACACTTGTGGTGAAAGGGCACATCAATGGCTGGCAACAATGTCCACAGATGCCCCAAAAACGAGTGCTCGTCCACTTTCAGAGCGCTACCCCGTGTGACGAGAGCGGCTGTCCATGAACAGTTGGATGGACAAGGTGATACACTCTGAGTACGGGTACACTCTGCAATTTTCCAGGCATCCTTCTGTTTTCACTGGAGTGCTAAAGATGGTAATGGTGTCGCTGGCAGACCCCGCTGCACTGACGGCAGAGCTGCAAGAGCTGTTGACAAAGAAGCGATCTCTGTGGTTCCGCCCGGTCAGGAGTACATGGCTTTCTACTCGCGCTACTTCAGGCAGAATGATTTTCATCCTTGACCTGTCCCTCTTCAACAAATACATAATGAAGAGGCCGTTTCATATGCTCACCATAAAGCAGGTGCTGGAGTGTGTACATCCAGGCGACTGGTTCACATCCATCGGCCTAAAAGATGCGTACTTTCATGTACCATCATCCCCAAACACAGAAAATTCCTGCATTTGTCTTTCCAAGGCGTATGGTTCCAATACAACTGGTTACCCTTCGGATATTCTCTGGCCCCCTCACATTCTCAAAGTGCGTGGAGACGTAGCTGGAACCGTTGCGCAGGAAGGGAATCAGAGTCCTTTTTTTATCTGGACGATTTGATTCTGATGGCATCCTCCGGACAGCAGGATGCGTCTCACATGGTGGAGCTGGTCCAATACCAAACCCAGCTAGGTTTGGCAGTAAACTGGAAAAAGAGTTTGCCGCTGCCATGTCGGACAATCATTTATCTGTGGGTACAGCTGGACTCCCTCAGCATGAGGGCGAAACTGTCATTTGTCAGGCAGGAAGTGCTTTCCCCCCTCCTGCAGCGCATTGTTCCCTGCATGACGGTGATGGCTGTCTGTGATGCACTTATTGGGCACAATGTTAGCTAGTCATGTAGCGGTCCCTCTTGGTCTTCTCCACATGAGAAAGCTTCAGAGGCGGTTCGGTCACATTCGCCTCAACCCCGTGTGGCACAAGAGGCATGTGTTTACAGTCCCACCCTCTGTCCAGTCCGACCTGGCATACTGGAAAACCCCCGGTGTCATGACAAAAGGGGTTCCCCTTGGCAGAGTCACATGACACATATTGGTGTGGTTCTATCTTCAGGGCACATCTGAATTCTCACTGGCTCATTCGGTTCTGAGTGCTTTGCGTGATCGGGACGCTGCCTCCGATGCAGAACATGAGTGCACATATGCCACCAGATGCTGTTGCTGCATGTGAGGCCAGCAGCTGCATTCCCCTGGCCATATTTGCTGGGACGGCTGGCTGTTACCTAATGTAACTATTGCCTGACTGTTCTGTCAGTGCAAAGCTATTGGTGTGTATGTCTTTACTTTGTCTGTGCACCCTCCCCGGCACTTCTGTCCCCCTCTGCCGGTCCTGCCTGCTGTGGGTGATCATCAACTGGCATTATGTTTTCAAATTTAGCTTTCGTTGCTCGAGCATCTGACTGTACCATGTGGAACTATTGTCTGCCTGCTTCCACAAGTTGTTTTTCTGTGCATTTTATCAGGTGCACACACTCACTGTGTGCACTTCCCTGCACTTATTCTCCTCTGATAAACATAACGGCCGTCCCTGCCTCTCATAGTGACAGTCAGGGTCTATATGGGGCATGATTGTGCCTGCTTCTCAGACAAGGCCTGTTGCAGGAGAACGGATGTTGTACTTGGGCTGCTGTGGCAGGATATGACGACAAGCTGTGATGTTGTCTATAATGCTCTTGGGTGGCGGTGAGCCAACGGGGCATTGACTACACCCAGCTGCACTTTTATCCCAATAACGACAGCTCTTAGAGGGTGAAGCCTATATGAAATAGAATGATGGTTACGTACAGTAACCTGAGCTTCTATAAGTATAGGCATAGCCCTCTAAGCTCGCAGCCCCACTGTCTCTGCCTCTGAAAAATAAGCACGGGCACAGGGAGCAGAGCTCGGGTCACACAGGCTTTTATATGGCCCCATCGGACCGGAGTGGAGACAGCCCAGTGCAGGGCGTGAAAGAAATCTCTTCAGGATTGTGCATGCGTGAGGGATAAATCCAATATTCATAGCTTTTAGAGGACTACACCTATACTCATAGAAGCTTGAATTACTGTACGTAACCATTGTTTTTTGCTTTAAAAACAGTGGTAGGGGAGGTCCATGATCTTCGAATAATTGTCGAATACTTCCCAGAAACTAGCAGTTTAGCTTGAGATGCCCATCCCTAATACAGTATGTACAGTGTATCCATCCCACAGCAAAACACTGCAAATACAAACTACACACACTTCAAAAAGAACTGTCTTCAGTAGTAACACTTATGTTTCTATTACCTGTTGCACCTGTTTATAATGCACTTCATTATTAGTTGGAGGTTTGTTAAAAAATGTGAGAGAAAGACGGAAAACTTTAATACAATGTTTCATTTTTATTACAATTTAATTTTTTGTTAAAGTTACAGAATGTGTATGCTGTCAGTTACAGTTCTTAGAAAGAAAGAAAATTAGAATTCACAGGTCAGACAAAAAATTGGAATTGGCCTGGAAAGTTGCTGCCCTGTAATGAATCTGTAGTTTTGAGAGTGTACCTAACAATACCTAGTTATTCTTTTATTCACGTCAATAATTTAAACTAGTAAACTTAATATTTTGGAACCAGGACCTGATCCAGTATTTTGATCAAGAAGCTCCCGAGCAATACAGTGTGCCAGATTCATGTCAGTTTCATTATGTCCTTGACCTGTGTAGATATTGTGAATTGCTACACTGATATTTTTGTGAAAACCCTTGAATTAAAGCTGAAAATCTACACTTCAATAACATCTTGACTGCTTGATTTTGAATAAGTTGTGGTGGTGTACAGAGGCAAAATGATGAAAATTGTGTCCCTGTCCAAATACTTACGGACCCGACTGTATACACATCATACTGTAGATGCCGAATGAGCAGCTGCTGTCCGTTACAACATTGCGGATTGAGCGAATTCATAATTTAAAAGCGATGTTCCAGTATGTCCTCCACTACTGAACAGATAAGATAGGGTGAAATAAGTATTTTCATCATGACTAACATTATAACATTCAGTCTTAAAAATCCACAGTGGTCAAAGCGTAGTATTCTTCAGCTATCACTGTTTTTTGCAGATATCCTCACATCCCACTGAAGGAGAGAGTGAGAATTGCTCAAAATTGGTGTGATGGGATCTGCAAAAGAGCAGTTCTTCTCAAATGGAGAACAAAGTGAGTCAGTTTCCCATACATTGTTTTGAAGGCCAAAACACCACATCCTTATGTTATTCCATTTCACCTAGACCGTATGCTGTGTGCTACATGAAAAGTGTAATGTGTATAAAATGCTAATAAAGTTTTTCAATAGGACAAATCATGTGGGTACATTGCATCAACCTCAGGTCTAGTCCTTATTGTAACTCCATCCTTATCACACAGACATAATATTGATAGGCATGTTCTTATCTAACTTTATAAAACTGTCTTTCCCCAGATGTTTAACAATCATAATGCCTTCTTAATGAGAGACATCTGCATTATGGTGACTTAAATTATGTTCACTCTTGTCATCATTTGAAAGTTTGTGTTTTGTCTTCAGACTGTTACCATGGCTGCAGTTGGAACGGGACGTACTGTTTCTGTCTCAGGCTGCTAATATTGAAGCATACTATCTACACCAAGACTCGGGGCGTCTTCAGCGTAACCCGTTTGCAATCTACTCAGGCCACAGTGGTGATGTGTGTCACTTCGTGCTAACGGACTTGCACCTGATCAGCGGTGGAAGGTAGCTCATGCTCATGTTCTCCGTTTCTTTATTCTTCTGACAGCGGTGGAAGGTAGCTCATGCTCATGCTCATGTTCTCCATTTCTTTATTCTTCTGATTTTATTGATAAAGGCAGCATGCATTAATCATTATGAAACAGTCAGAGGTACTGTAGTAAATATTTGCATCATCATCTTAATTCATAATTCATCATTTGTGGCTTTGTCATTGATCTGTGGCAACTTTTACATTTGCCATTTTAAATACATACACGTATTGTGGAAAAATCTGAACATGACAAGTAATGTGCAACAACAACAGTTTTTTTTGGAGTTAAAAGATATGGGTGATTATTATAGAGTTGTGTAAATACTACTCACATATTTTACTTAAGTAAAAGTAGAAATATAAAAGAGTAGAAATACTTTGTTGCAAGTAAAAGTTATGCTTTCAAAAAATGTACTTAAGTACAAAAAAGCTTCAGAAATATCAGCAAAACGTTCTGTGCCCTCTCCTTTTCACATATCTGAACTGTTATCTAGTGCCCTTCCAAGCTCCATCCCAGGGGTTGACTGTACCATCTCCACAGTACTGGATAACACACCGGTTCTTTTTTTATTGCTCTCCTTCATTTACAGTGATCTCTCTAACTTTTGGCTGCAACTTCAGTGCCCCCTGCAGCCCAAACAACCCTAGTAATATCACAGTCATAATTAACAACAGAGCTCATGAAAGATTTGGCACCCAAAACCAACTCCAGTTTGGCCGTTCCCACATTTACACAAATTGCTAAACCGCAGCCTAGTCAGTGTGTGTCTTCTGCAGCCATTACCACAAGGGATACTTACTTGGTCTGCCTGCTGAATGTGAGATCACCGACTAACAAATCCTTTTTGTGTGATGACCTCATCAACGGAACTTAGATTTTTTTCTTCATTACTGAGACTTGGTTGAGCCCTGGTTACAGCTGAGCATTGTTTCAGTTTAATCACTTCTGATTCCAGTTCCTGTTCTGCTTATGGAACACATTGGACAGACTATCCCTGGAAGGAGGGATGTTGATATTTGCGGCTACATCTACCATGGAGTAAGCCTAACCACAGTTTACTCTAGGCTGTAATGTTAGTTCTTCTGTTGGCAGTTTCTGCTGTGCTAAGGAAAATATCAAAAAAGACCAAATGATATCATATCCATATCCATGGATATCACTGTGAATAACCAGATATCAATAGCACATTTTGCCTTCCTAAATGAAGGAGGCTGAATAAAAGGAATTTCTATGCTTGGAGGGCGGTGTCTGGGGAATGGGGATGAACCGTTGGTGGTGGGGTACTCTCTGAACCTGGATATATGTATATGTAAAAGAAAGCTTACGTGAGCACAGGTGACAGCCTACATGGCATTTCTGTCCACTCTGAATGGCGGGGCTGCAGTAGGGAGATGTCGCTACCACTCCCTGCACCTGGTCCCACTTCAAGTTTCTATATCACACGGTAACAGACGCTTGAAGCTGGCGTCGGTGTGTTGTAAATATGTGCTTTGTGTATGTACACATTTGCTTGTGTTTTATATATGCAAACATGTTTTTATCACCATTTATCAGTAGTGTTTTTGTTTTTGCAAAGCATTTTGTAACAATGTTTAAAAAGTGCTATAGAAAGGAAGTATATTTATTATTATTATTATTATTACCAAGTACCAGAAGTACTCATTACGAAGGCCTCATCTAGAAAAAAGCATTATATTGCTGTATTTTAATTACAGATGAATTGCATTTTATGGTGGAGCTGGTAAAGATGGGGCTGATTTTAATTCCTTTATTTACTGTTGGGTAGATTTCTTTTTCCTCCCCCTGGGGATCAGTAAAGTCATATTTGAACTTTTAATAAAAATCAGAATTTATTTGTTGATTCTATTTTGTATTTGTATTCTGAATTTGCAAAGTGACAGTGATTCTGTATATCCATTAGCAGGGAGATCCCCTGCATCACACCTAATGCTCCATTTTCCTTGCTAAGCTGTAAGTAAATGATGAATCATGGATTGAATTGAATCCAAATTAAAGAAATCAAAATCCAGCCCTATCCTTCAACAGTCAGTAACATGCCATATCATAAATCTGTAGGAGAAAACATGAGCATCCAATCACAGTTCATGTGGTTCCTTTGTGGCATCGCTGTTGCAACTATGGCCCCACATGTCACATTTTTGAGAAAACTCAAGGTGTAAAATGAATCAATCAATGTAATAAAAATAATCACAAGTTCCCTGTTCACCTTAGGAACAGTAATTTGATTTATAGTTGTAAATCAAAGTCCACTTGCTAGTTTTTTTCAAGCATTTCGAACAGTGATGATCAGTGTTTGCTCAGATGTGATGATGTGGTTAACCTCTTGTTATGTTATTTACTAAGAAGGGATCACCTTCTCAGAACAGTGCCAATGAAGGCCATGAAAGATTATTTTTACAGTTTTTTTTTTATATACTGTAGTAACAGATTACTTTACAGACCACAAAAATAAGGAATATATAACTTCGTGTGATTAAACAGCCATAACAAACAGGTGCTAATGTAGCAGATTAAATTATATCTAATGCTGCTGCCTCAGTGTTTAATAATGACAGAGGCATCAACACTTGAATGGTGAAGGTGGCAAAGTGGGTTTGAACGAATCATAGTTGGTGGGTGGTGCAGTCTGTTTCGCTGGGCAGCTCAATATGACACAACCACATCTAAACAGTTAGCTATTAGCCTTACAAGCTCGCTATGGTTAACTCACTCAAAGCGAATGATGGACTGAAAGCCGAAATTGTTCTTGAAACTATTTAACCTAATTGCTCTTAATTCTTAACTGGAGTTAAGTTTTACTTCACCCGATGTTCACTTCATGTTCTGCACTGCAGCCTCTCAGCCTGCTGCCCGCTCCATGTGTGGGGTAGCAGAGCCTCATCTTCAGTCAAACACCGACACAAAGAGGAGAAGCTGCTCCATTAACACCAAAACCATATTCTTTGATCCACTAATATCACTCGCTTGTCTCTTTGAATACTGTTAATGTGCTCTCGGTCCTTATAAACTCAGAACCATGAAATGCAGTAAGTTACCTCATTGTGCCCGAATAATTTTTCATATTCGTGCGCAGTGATTTTTACTCGCATATGAAATACTGCACACGTGAATTGAGTGAAATGCCTTCACCACCAAGCCCTGCTTTAAGAAAAGCCAAATGGCATGTTCAAAATCTACCAGTAAAAACAAAGAAAGAAGGATGAGTGAACTGAAAAATCGATGTTTATTTTTCATGATTGAAGTACAAGACCAGTCTTGTATGCTGGATTCCCAGTGCAACCATGGGCCTGTATTATCTGTGTTCTGTATTAAATCAAAAACAGTGTGATACCTCATCAACTTTACAGAAAGGAAAGTGAGTGTTTATTTTGAACAGAGAATAAAATTGATGAGGTATCGCATCAAATAATGTGCTGCTGTGTTGTTTTTAGTGTAATACAGGACACAGGTGATTTACAGATCACTATTTTCAGTTTTCATTTTGATTTTACACACTGTCCCAACTACTCTATTCAGAAACAAGCGGTATAGATAATGGATTGGTGGATGGATAGCATCCCAACCTTTCCTGATTTGGGGTTGTAGTACCAGCTACTGGAATCCATCCGTACAGAGTCCAGCCTCATTTTACTTTTAGTAACATTTGCACAGTACTGTATGTATGCAGATATAAAGCTAGTCCTAAAAATAACTTCCCTTTGTTTGTCAGTGATGGCAAGATTCTGGTCCACAGCAGGATGAGTGACATGGCAGTGGCGTTATCAGGTCATAATCAGGAAGTCAACTGCCTGGACTCTAAAGATGGACTCATCATCAGTGGATCCAGAGACAGAACAGTCCGGGTCAGAACAGCTCTACAATTCAGATTTATTAATGTGATGCACAGTGTCATGGTGTTTACAATCCGATTCTTTCATATATAATGAGACAGAGGAACATAAACCTCATTGCTTCACTAATATTTCTGTAGTACATGCAATATACATATGATGGTATGTCTAAATAATCCACACATTATAAAATGTGCTTATTGGTGACTCTTTTTTTTTTTTTTTAGGTTTGGACTTTAACTTCCAGCTACCCCAGAGACACAATTCCCCTGTATGACAGAGTGTGGTCTGTTGCAATTAGTCCCACACGAAGGTAAGCATTTGCTCAGAACTAGTAATAAGCCGTAACAACTGGCAAAGAGGTTTACTATGATTGGTCACACAATTAAATACGATGGTATACACTGTGGTGGAGCAGATGGAGAGGGAGAGTGCATTTTTGTTAGATTATCAGTTATTGACATAGACTACTGATAGTAATGTACTGTATGACACCAGCTCATGGCCTAGCAGCAGACCTAATTTTAAAATAACTTCAGCTTGATACAGACCATGCTGAGTTAAACATGCCATGATGGTGATTGTCAAACTAACTTGAGTGTGATGTGGTGATGTGACAGATACCGGTCTGTGTTGAGGTCCATTACCCCTTTAAAGGATAATGTTTTCAACAATCCCCATACTGTGCTTTGTTTACAGTCTGCTAGCTCCTCGCGCTTTCACAGAGATCTCGCACATATACATTTGAGTGTTGCTACTTCATATGCTGTAAAAAGTTATGGTTGTTTGGAGCTTTTGGGGCAACGTTTTACACAAATATGGGGATCTGGTGTTTTCTAATGAAGAAACATGCCACCCAGTACAGCGGTGTGTTTCACTGATGTGTTTTTAAATATTTCTGGACAACAGTGGAGGTCTGTGGCACAGATGAATTAGCTAATCCAGGTCAGAGACTGGCAGACATCAACTGTGAGTAGATGCAATTCACTGTTGGTTTTAGTCTGTATGTGGTTTGTTGAAAATACTACTACTATAGAAAATGACTTGTCTTATCCTTAAGTAATGTTTCTTGTGGAACTAACCTCCATGGTTGGGGTAAGTTGAGGTCAAGGTTAAGGGAAACATTGATGGAGTAATAAACACATCATCTGCTAAATACTGACTGAACTAAACATTTGTTACCTGTGTTTCAGTTTTGGTGTTTTAATTTAACATATTAAACTTGAAGACAGGGCAATATTTTCTCTTAATAGGAATTAGGCTATGTACTGTACATGAAAAAACTTGCAAATCCAACATTAAACATTTTTTAAAGCAATATTTTAACATTTTGATAAATGTATTCTGCATTCTTTTGACATCCACTATAGGACCCAAACTGTGTTTGATATGGTGTGACTAGAGTACTGCTGTAGTTTTACTGGAATGAATACAGGTTACTAGTTCACCTGTATCACAAATGTTTGGATTTCAAAGCCTTGAGGCTCCTCGGTTCCATGTTCCAGTCAGAACTGGTCACTGTATACATTTTTTTACACTCTGCAGACACTCTTTAAATGTATGTTGTGGCTTCCTTGTGCTGCTTTCCCTTACTCACATTGCATGGGCATTCCCATTGTCAAGGGTCAACAGTGTAACCAGCGAGCGATGTTAGAATTTCCTTAAAGGGACTCACTGAAAGGGGCTTGAGAATCAGATTCTTTGTAGTGGTGGTTTAGAAGTGCCTTTGATTGCTCAGCCATGCTGGTACCCAGACACTTAATAACACACACTTAGACAGACTTAAAGCATTGGTGACTTCTAGGCAGATGGAAGAAGAGTGCTGTAACAGTATCTCGACTTCATCACCTGCTACTTCAGCAGAGAGGCAGGTGATCATCCATCTGGCCCAGAGTGGAGGGGGTTTCCCAGCTTACTAAATGACTACCTGCACTGTATACAGATTTCAGGATTCATTCATTGCCGTGTATTTCTTTCAATCATAGTATAGCAGAAATATATATACACTGACCAGGCATAACATTATGACCACCTGTGCAACTGTATGCACTTCAATGCAACACTTCCACCTTAACATCTGTGTTTATGAAGCTCAAAATGTTTCAGATATTGGTGAGATTGTCATAAATATATAAATTCAATAATATGTTCATTATTGAGGTCATAGTTAAAGGTGGGGGTGTACTGGATTACATTATATTCAGAAGTGTTCCTAATATTCTGACCCTCTCATGTATGTCAAATACAAAAATATACAGACGCCTCTGAATATAATGTAGTCCACCCCAACATCTTGTCAGAAATGTTTCAAAAACTGTATTCTTATGGAGTTAAAACTGTTCAAAATAACCTATGCTAGGAGTGTGTTTTTGTGGCAAATACCTGAGTTGTCTCCTGGGGCCTAATCCTCTCCTTTGGCATATCTGCCCACATCAACAGTGTGAGGCCTAGGCTGTAATTTTGACTTTCTGAAATGTTTCTGGCAGTCACTCACTTCCAGTATCGTTTTGCTGAGATGTTTGTGTATTACAAGCACACTGAAGACGCACTGGGGTATATTTACTAAACCTGTCACAAATTACCATCAGGGTGGAAAATATTGTGGTATCGTAGTTTTTAAATTTATTTGTGTATTTACCCACACTGATTCTGTAAATGTGTGTTAATTTGATTGCACTTCAGCTGGTAAGCATGTGCCTGTGCTGCACACCGAGAGGGACAGTGGAAGAGTGTGACTGACCATTAATATAGCTGAAGAAATCAACAAACCTATTTTGGAATGGCAGTCATGTAGTCTTCTACCCATCAAATCATCTTTTATTTTGCTGAGTAAGTGAAGCATGGTTTGATGTGAAAGCCTGTAAAAGTCCCTCATGTTGTCCTCTGGCGAGCGACGTGATTTTACAAACACCCTGTCCCTCCTCAAACATGTTCTTAACTCAGACGAGGTCTCAGATGACTAACAGCTGCCACGCTGACAGCAGGATAGCAGCTTTTACACCTGACCCACTTTCTGCTGACGTTAGATTTCAGCCACAGTTCTCTCTGATGCAGCTGTGGTAGATCAGGCACTGAGGGTATCCATATAAATATCTATTCACTCCTCCCTGATATTTGCTTCCCTGAATGGAACGCCTTTAAAATACATATTGCATGAGACCAAACTTGCGGTGCCGCCTTTGTTCTGTTTCTCCACCAAAAACCCCATTGCGACCCCTTACTAAATATGAACACATGCAGTTTCACTGTTTAGCACCAGAAAATGAAACACAAAACCTTTGTAAATATACCCCATTGTACTTTAAAAAAACAAAATCAGGAAATAGTGTTTTTTAACAACCCTATCATCAGACAGAACATTTAAATTGGAAGCTTTTGCAGAACCCCTGATTATGGTTTTTAACACCCAATTCCAGTTTTTTCAACAACTTCTTTCCTTAATATCTGCACTCTTTAGTTAAGATTAGCAAAAGAGAGAAATTAACTATAGTTAAAATGTAGTTAGGCTTCATCACCTAAAAAGGTGTAAATGCACATGCATATTCATGTTGGATTGCTTTGACATTTAAATGAGGGGCACAGGATGTGATTGCTGTGATAATGCTCCAGACTTGTAAAGACCGCTCATGGATAAGCTAGAACAATTTGATAACTCTTTGTTTGTGATGGAATGCAAACTCTGGCCTCTCACATCAAAGTGATGCATGCACTCATGCCCATCCACCACCTTGTTCTCCATGTCTGTACTTTCCTCTTTGCTAAAGGACACACTACTGTATGTCCTGCAGTGGCTCTGACCATTCAGCTTAAAATTGTAACTGTTTTTCCATGGAAATAAGAAATCAGCATACATGCATAGTGGTGTTGTCTGTCTAGTCCAGCCCTCAGAGCATCTCTCAGATCTAAGAGGAACAGGCAGATTATCCACATCATTAATTCTCCAATTTGCTGGCTGACATAGCAGACCGTGCTTCAGCCTGCGGCCCCCTCATAATGCAAATCTGCTCCTTACCTCTCACTGACCAGCGACCTGGTTAATTAAAACTCTTCTGGAAACCAGGTGTCAATTCACTGATAAACATATAAAACCACTTCTGCCCTGCATACCAATTAACTCACCCCTGGCTGGCTTGTCAAAGGAAAGTAATTTTTCCCACATTTTTTCACTTCCGTTGTTTAAACATAAGCCTGGCTAAAAGTCACAAAGGATATGAAAGCACAAACCATACAACAGTTAAGACAGTGCTGTATAGCCAGGGGTGAAAGCCCTGCAACACATAGTTAGGCCTGAACTAAAACAGTAGGAATAGACTGATTTATTATATAATTTGAAGGTTTTTTTTTTTTTTTCCAAGTTATAGATTGTGTACATTCCCTGTGGCAGCCCCGTACATATCCAAAACTGTGTTATACACAACATAACCTCATTCTGCAGCAGCTGGTTTGGTCCCATGTTTGCCTGATTGTACGTGCCTATGTTTACCATCTCATGTAGACACCACAGAACCATGGTTAATGGCTTAAACTGAGGATGACTTCAGTTTAAGATGAATTTTGCAGCAGAACAGGTTAGGCTGGTTTGCTTGATGGATTGCTAAGAAGGGAGTGAATACCAGTAGGTTTATATGGTCCTTCAAGCAGCATGCTGCTAGCCTGCAAATTAGTCTGCCAAAATCAATCCAGAACTGGCAAAAATGTGCTTTCTAATATTTGAACAAATGTTTTATTTTGTTTTTTTTTTATAAACGGGTATTCTTTTAGCTCTTATGGCAAAGATCTTTACAAGTACAGTACTACTTGTAGTTGTATACTACTACTTGTATTTACTATACATCACCACCTGATATGTTAGTAGCATTATGCATGATTATACTGTAGGATCGTTCCAACCCTGTTGCAAGTCAGTGTGTGGATAATGGACAGTTCTGTAAAATGCAGTGCAGTGATTTTTAAATGTATTAGTCTCACAATATTCATGGATGACTACTACACCATTGTAAAGGTGTAGTTATGATTAGACAACTAAAACATGTATTTAAAGAATGCTCCAAACCTCAGTCTCAACATTCATTAACTTTCCACCTGCATTACCACTGAACATTGGCAGAGGATGTAAATCATGTGCTGCATAACTTGTCCAGCTGCATTATGTAGATGGTCTCAGTCATCAGTTGATTTGATGATATTACAATCAATATGGATAACTCTAAATTATTTGTCATGTTGGCATGTTTTAGTAGGACAACGCCACAGGAACTGCTGGACTATTGCATATAAAACATATATGAAATCATCTGCTGAAAAATGGCAGCT